TTGTTTGTTCGAACCAACCGGTACCAGGAGAAAGGCAGCATCCTAATGCGTAGAGGGGCTGTACCTCAAGGCGTTGAATGATGCGTAACCTGATTGTACCGATGTATAAGAACGCATCCCTGAGTGGACGTCTTTGTCCGGCCTAGGGGGAGGTGGCAAATCCAGCCACTGACTGAGCCGGTCCATTGTCAGGGGGCACATATTCGTAGTATGTCTTGTAGAATCCACGGGGAACTATTCCTGTGTTTCGTTTGACAATAAACCTGGCCGGGCACCTTTGTTCCTTATCAGTGTCTGTGGTCATTGGGCGGTTCACTCGAGATCTGCTGTACCAGAGAACTGTGCAGAGCCGGGGCAGCACACAGAGGGAACACACGCACACCGCCAACTGATATCAACATCGACCAGAGCAGAGCACCACACCGGTGACACCTGACGACAAGCTGCTCCTTGGATCGTGCAACCAAATGACACTGGAGAATATCTCCGGTCCCAGACACGACCCTGGGAACCTCCGTCTTGCAGTGCCCAGTTTTGCTCGCTGGATGCTGGAAGCTTATATGAGTTTGTCAGTTTAACAAAGAAATTGATATGTCCCAGGCTTGTTCTCCCAAGGGGAGTCTTTGACACCCCTCAAACCAAACGCACTGCTTCAGGTAGAATAAACAGACAGAGTTATTAACTATGAAAGATAGATTTTAAGTAATTATAAGTCAAAGCACCACAAGTTGGATTTGGGCAAATGAAATAAAAGCAAAACGCATTCAAAGCTAATCTTAACACTTCCGATGCCCTTACAAACCTAGATGCGTCTCACCACAGGCTGGCTGGTTGCCCTTCAGCCAGGCTCTTCCCTTTGATCAGCGCTTCAGTCACTTGGTGGCGTTGTCTGTAGATGGAGGTGGAAGAGAGAGAGGGCATGGCAAACGTCTCTCCCTTTTATCATGTCCTTTCCTCCCTCTTGGCTTTGCCCCCCACCCTTCAGAGTCAGGTGAGCATTACCCCATCGCAGTCCCACACTGACCAAAGGAAGAGGCTGTGGTGGGTTCGGTCACAGGGATCCCCTTGGGACTGTCACCTGACGTGTTGAAATTACCTCTGAGCCCGTTTTCCCTGCCAGCCTGGGTCTCCACAACCCTGCCTCATTGAGCCAGACACGCCAGCCTGCTGCAACACAGACCCAGGTCTCGTCCATGCCCACAAAACTGCAAACTTTAACCAAAAACTGCTCAGCAAGTCACCTGTCTCCAGCACCCAGACCCCCAGCTCCCAATGGGATCCAAACCCCCAATAAATCCATTTTACTCTGTAACACGGTGAACGCTCACCACCGCGGTGCCTCCTGCTGGTTACCTCGGGAATTAGCTCATTCCAGCTGCGGAGCGCCTCCTGCTGTCCAATGTCTCTCTACCGGTTCCTGCTTCCTGGTCTCCACCACTGGACTTCAGGCCCCGCGTCCCTCCCGGCCCGCGGTGCCCCTTCTCCTGGGTCCTGCCCACAGCAGTACTCCCACACTTGGGGTCCTCCCCAGGGAACCCCAATCCCCTAAGCCCACCTCGCCTCAGTGACCCACTGCCAGTCTTCATCTAGCCATGGGTTGGCCAACCTGTGGCTCCGGAGCCGCATGCGGCTCTTCAGAAGTTAATATGCGGCTCCTTGTATAGGCACCGACTCCGGGGCTGGAGCTACAGGTGCCAACTTTCCAATGTGCTGGGGGAGGGGGGCTCACTGCTCAACCCATGGCTCTGCCCCAGGCCCCGCCCCCACTCCACCTCTTCCCACCCCCTCCCCTCAGCCTGCCGTGCCCTCGGTCCTCCCCCCGCAGAGCCTCCTGCACGCCGCGAAACACCTGATCGGGAGGTGTGGGGAGGGAGGGAGAGGTGCTGATCGCGGGGCTGCTGGTGGGTGGGAGGTGCTAGGAGCAGGGTGGGAGAGCTGATGGGGGGCTGCTGATGTATTACTGTGGCTCTTCGGCAATGTACATTGGTAAATTCTGGCTCCTTCTCAGGCTCAGGTCGGCCACCCCTGATCTAGCCCCTTCCCTCAGGGGCAAACTGCAGTCTGAAGTGGCCACTCATCATTGGCAAAGGGGTTGGACCTGCTGCCTCTTCCTCCCCTGGCTGCTTCCCCCCAGCCCTGAAAGCAAGGCCCGCAGCTCCTCCTGCCCTTCCCCAGCACCGCGCCAGGCAAGGTGCCCTTTTCTCCTTCAGACAGCCAGGTCCATCGCTCTCCAAGGCTGGAGAGAGACTGACTGCCTTCTGGCCCTGCAACCCATTTATAGGGCCCAGCCTGGCCCTGATTGGCTGCCTCCCAGCCTTTTCCTGATTGGCTCTCAGCCCCAGCCCTCTCCAAGAGCTGGCTTTTAACCCTTTCTGAGCTGGAGCAGGGTGACTGCCCCGCTACACTCTGTATAAAGTGTATACAGGGTAAACTCATAAATTGTCCACCCTCTATAACACTGATAGAGAGAGATGCCCAGCTGTTTGCCCCTCCCCCAGGAATTAATCACTTACTCTGGGATAATTAATAAACAAAAGTGATTTTATTAAGTATAAGAAGGAGGATTTAAGCGGTTTCAAGTAACAACAGACAGAACAAAGTAAGTTACCAAGCAAAATAAAACAAAACACACAAGTCTAAGGCTAATACATTAAGAAACTGAATACAGGTAAATCTCAACCTCAGAGATGGTCCAATAAGCTTCTTTCACAGACTAGACTCCGTCCTAGTCTGGGCCCATCCTTTCCCCTGGTGCCGTCCTTGTTCCAGCTCAGGTGGTAACTTGGGGATTTCTCATGACTGCAGCTCTTTTGTCCTGCTCCACCCCCTTATATAGCTTTGGCCCAAGGCGTGAATCTTTTTTCTCTTTGATCCCCCCTCCTTCTGAATGGAAAAGCCCCAGGATTAAGATGGATTCCAGCACCAGGTGACATGGTCACATGTCCTGTGAGACCCCCCCCCCCCAGCCTCCATTCTTCCCAGCCTGACACACAGGAAGGTTTGCGAGCAAACAGAGCCATTTACCAATTGTCCTGGTCCATGGGAGCCATCAAGATCCTCAGCCACCATTAATGGCTCACACTTTGCATAGTTACAATAGGACCTCAGAGTTAAATTTCATATTCCTAGTTTCAGATACAAGAGTGATACATTCATACAAATAGGATGACCACACTCAATAGATCATACGCTTTGTAAGGATACCTTACAAGAGACCTTTTGCAAGAAGCTGTGACGATACGGTTCTGGCGGAACCCAACTGAGAGTGCCAACTCAGGACAAATTGCTCAAACAGGGCAATTACAGCCCAAGGCTGGGGTTTTTTCCACCTCTAAGGCAAACCAAACCAGCCAGACTAGGAGGACTTCGGTCTCACCCCACTGGCTAACCGCAAGTCTCACAAGCAATCTCCTAAGACACTCCAGTTTCCCAGTATTACCACCAGTGCCACTCGTTATGGGGACAAATGATTATGAAAACCAATACCCCAGTAAAAGAAAAAGGTTCTCCTGATCCCAAAGGACCAAGCCCCAGACCCAGGTCAATATACAAATCAGATCTTACCCACAAATCACGCTGTTGCCAATCCTTTAGAATCTAAAATCTAAAGGTTTATTCATAAAAGGAAAAAGATAGAGATGAGAGTTAGAATTGGTTAAATGGAATCAATTACATACAGTAATGGCAAAGTTCTTGGTTCAGGCTTGCAGCAGCGATAGAATAAACTGCAGGTTCAAATCAAGTCTCTGGAATACATCCCCCGCTGGGATGGGTCCTCAGTCCTTTGTTCAAAGCTTCAGCTTGTAGCAAAGTTCCTCCAGAGGTATGAAGCAGGATTGAAGACCCAATGGAGATGAGGCATCAGCCTTATATAGTCTTTTCCAGGTGTAAGAACACCTCTTTGTTCTTACTGTGGAAAATTACAGCAAAATGGAGCCTGGAGTCACATGGGCCAGTCCCTGCATACTTTGCTGAGTCTCAAGGCATATTTGCCTTCTCTTAATGGGTCCATTGTATAGCTGATGGTCCTTAATGGGCCATCAAGCAGGCTAGGCAGAGCTAACACCAGCTTGTCTGGGATGTCACCCAGCAGCATAGCATAAGTTTGAAATACAGACAGTATAGAGCCAATATTCATAACTTCAACTACAAAATTGATACACACATATAGACAGCATAATCATAACCAGTAAACCATAACCTTGTCTAAGACACCCCATTTGACCCCCTTTATACAAGATTTGGGTGCCACTACAGGACCTTGGTTGCAACAATGATCTATATGGTCCCAGTTTATGTCAATAACGTCACAGAAGCATATTCCAGTTACATCATATTCACACTCATTAGCATATTTTCATAAAGCGGATGGAGCACAGCACCACGGTGGGGTGATTCCCTTTAGAGTGTAACAGATAATTTTGTTGCTGCCTTGGCCAGCATCTTTTGTTGCTGTGAGGCTGGGCTGGGTTTGTCCCGTCCACGCCCTGATGAGGTGTGAACTGCCCCTCTGCTCTTGGACAGTTTTTGCCTGAGCTTGCTTCAAGCCATGAGGACACATTTTCAGGCTCATAACTATATACATGAAATTATAACCTATACCATTACTGTAACAATTATAACGTCATTGTAACAACCATGCTCAGAGCAGCATGAGCCTGCCGAAGACACCCGACATTACAAACTTTGCATTGGATACCACCCAATCATTTTACCACCATGAACATGGGGGCCCGGGGTGTTCCCCCGAGGTACAGAGCATCACACTCACCCAGCCACTCCCCTGTGGCCGGTGCCTCCTAGAGGGGACAGGCCCCGTGTCCCATTCCCCGCTCCCCTGAGCCAGCCAGTCCCCGCCCTGGGGCCGGGTGGGAGGCGGCGACCCCTAGAGGGGACAGGCCCCTGCCCCATTCCCCGTCCCCCTGAGCCAGGCAGTCCCTGCCCTGGGGGGAGCCAGAGCACCCTAGAGGGGACAGGCCCCTGCCCCATTCCCTGCGCCCCTAAGAAGGCAGAGGCCCCGTCACGTTGCACCGTCGCTCCTCGTACAACCCCTTCCACACCTCCTCCATCCTGTCCAGCGACACCCCGTGCACCAACATGGCCTCCCCGTACAGACACAGCTCGTCCTTCATGCCAAAGACCCGGAATCGCTCATCGTGCCGGTACCGCAGCCCGGCGGCCAGCACCAGGAAGCCGAAGTAGACGTCGTCCAGCGGGAAGACGGGGATGCGCTCGGAGGCCGCGGCCAGGGCTGGGACGCTGGCCCTGGGCATGAGGAACCCGCCCCCGGAGGGGAAGAAGGGGTATTTGTCCTGGGGGAACAGGGCAGAGGAGACGCGATATTTCCCCCCTCTCATCACGACTGCATGGCGCTGGATGTTGCCGTGGATGATGTGGGAGGCGTTGGGCGTCTGGCCCAGGTAGGTCACCAATGCGGGGGGGTTCACAAACTCGTCATCATCCCCTGGGCGAGGGAAAAGATGCTGAGGAGAGTGCAGATGGCTCAAAACCCAGGAGTCCTGGATCCCAGCCCCACCTGCTCTGACCCACCAGCCCCCACTCCCCTCCCAGCACCGGGGAGAGAACCCAGGAGTCCTGTCTCCCAGCCCCCCCGCTCTAACCCACCAGCCCCCACTCCCCTCCCAGAGCCCAGGTGAGAACCCAGGAGTCCTGGCTCCCAGCCCCCCCTTCTCTAACCCACCAGCCCCCACTCCTCTCCCAGAGCTGGGGGGAGGACCCAGGCGTCCGGGCTCACCTTTGAAGATGAAATCCGCCTGCCCGCAGTGCGCCCCCACCCAGCGCAGGAAGCAGCGCTCCTTGAGCGACAGGTTTTGGTGGCTCTCGGCGAAATCCCACAGCACCACGTCCCCAAACTCCTGGCTCTCCCACTCCAGCAGGGCCATGTCCCGGGGGTCGGGGGACACTCCCACGAGGAAGACGGGTCGGACCCGGTAGCCCCCCAGGATTCCGGGCCGGGCCCACGTGCGGCGGGCAGTGGCCCGTCTGGCGCTGGACGCTGGGTGGGATTTCACGGCCAGGAGCAGCAGGGGCGGCCCCGGGGGCCCGGTGCAAACCCCGTCCCCTGGGATCAGCTCCCGGCACCGGTAGCGCTGCAGCTGGGGGAACTCGGCCCGGAAGGCGGCGTAATCCAAGCGGAAGGTGAAGGTCCCGTCAGGCAGCTCCACCGAGCCGGGCCTGGGGCCAGGGGTGCCCTGCGGGGTCTGTCTCAGTTGGATCCTCATGGTGTGAAGCAGCCAAAAACCTCCGCCAATCAGCAGGCCCAGGATCGGGATCAGGACCAGGACTAGGATCCGAATCGGGATCCTGGCGGTCCAGATCTTCATCTCCGCTCCCGTCGGGGCTCGACCGAAAGTGAAACCAAAACAAACAGTTCGAAACTAGCTCACGGTGTGTTGTAGAAACACGGGGGGAGGGCTGAATATGGAACCCAGGCATCCTGGCTCCCAGCCCCCCTGCTCCAACCCACCAGCCCCCACTCCCCTCCCAGAGCCGGGGAGAGAACCCAGGAGTCCTGGCTCCCAGCCGCCCCACTCTAACCCACCAGCCCCCACTCCCCTCCCAGAGCCAGGGAGAGAACCCAGGAGTCCTGGCTCCCAGCCCCCCTGCTCTACCCACCAGCCCCCACTCCCCTCCCAGAGCCGGGGAGAGAACCCAGGAGTTCTGGTTCCCAGCCATCCCTGCTCTAATACGCTAGACCCCACTCCCCTCTCAGTGTGAGGAGGGAACCCAGGCATCCTGGCTCCCAACCCCCCCTGCTGTAACCCACTAGACCGCACTCCCCTCCCAGAGCCGGGGAGAGAACCCAGGAGTCCTGGCTCCCAGCCCCCCTGCTCTAACCACCAGCCCCCACTCCCCTCCCAGAGCCGGGGAGAGAACCCAGGATGTCTGGTTCCCAGCCATCCCTTCTCTAATACGCTAGACCCCACTCCCCTCTCAGTGTGAGGGAACCCAGGAGTCCTGACTCCCAGCCCCCCTGCTCTAACTACTAGACCCCACTCCCTTCCCCCAGCTGAGGCGAGAACCCAGGCGTCCTGTGGTTCCTTCAAAGACGGTAACTCCCCTCAATGTGCCCGACATTTTGTCCTGTTACACGAGGCTCCAGGGTCGGGGCTCCGGCGTCCCCTGGCACACGCACGCGGGAAAAGGTTGAAAAAATGGTTTTCAGTGAACTTCTGGCAACCGACGGAGACGCCGTATCTGGACAGGGTCTGGTCCGGCGTTGATTTTCCCCGTGCCCCGACACGCGGCGTTCTCAGACCCCAAAGTGGGGGTCATGTTGTTGCCTGCCCAGAACTGGGCCCCGAGATGGCAAACAGGGTCCGTCGCCCGGTGTGCTTGGCACCAGTAAAGACACCGAGGGGAGAAAGCAAGCCAAGTTTATTTCAGAGCTCTGAAATGGCACTAGGAGACCAGCATGTCTCAAATCCAGTGCAACAAATACAAACAACTTTTACCTTTTATACTCCAAGCTGTTTGCATACATCTCTTTGTCTGGCTGTTCCCCCTCACCCCTCCCTTCCAGACAACTGTTACAATAAGCTCTACATAAGCTTGTGAGAAAACTTTCCCCGTCTCTGCAACCTTGAGTTAGACGCCTGGAAACTAACTACCCCTCCTTTCCCCCGCTCCTTATCTGTATTATTTCTGCTAGTGTGAGTGAAACTGCAGCCATCTGCTAGAAACGCTGACATTACATTTCTGCTCCAGCCTGCTACAGAGCCTGTAAGCAGTTAGCATAGAAGTAGGTGAGAGTTCACAAGATGGAGTTTGGGGGTTCAGATAGGCCCAGAGCAGAAGAGCTTCATCGGCACTTTTGGCCTTCCGCTCTCCCGAGTTACCTGGTAGCTATGCCTAGTGACACCAACAATCCCTCCTTTGAGAACACTCAACAAACCTTTGTCAGAGTTTTCTCATACTCTAAAGACAAAATGCGATTAAGCTCCATGCAATCAGGATTATCAATGAGAGGGTGTAAGGGAACTTCTGGGGTATGGGAGGTACAAATCTTACCTATGAGCACTTTACAGCAAATGAGCAAAAGAACAAGAACAAAACATATCACCACACCTGTGAGCAAGATGCGAACAATGCTTCCCCCTATATCCCCTATTTCCCCTAAACCAGGTATCCAACCCCAAAGGGAATCCAAAATAGTGGGTTCCCCTTCCTGGGCCTTCCACTGGTTAAAGGCCCGTTCAGCTGACAAGATGTGCTTGTTAATGTCCTGTGAAAACTCTGGGACATAGGTACAACACTCTTCTCCAATAAGGGCACAGACCCCGCCTCGTGAGGCTAACACATAATCTAGGGCCTGACGGTTCTGCAGAGCCAGCAGTCGAAGCTGGTACAGCTCAGATCTTATGCTTTTCTCTATGGCCAGGGTATCATTGGCAAACTGGGTGAGAAATTTACAGAGTCTTCTGTAGAGTTGGGTTAGCCGTCCCACCCCATAGGAAGGGAGGGCTATCATCCCAAACCTGTCTCCTTCACTGATGGGTTCTAAGGTAGCTCTCAAGGACCGATAGTACCTGGGACGACCTGAGGGAGCCTTGGGTAGAATGCGGAGGGGAGGAGCGAGATAGCCTTTGTAACAGCTACCATGCCAACCATTAGGGAGCCATTTGTAGGCACTAGTACCACAAACCCAAAAGGCTTCACCATAACTAGCCCTTCCATTGTTACCTTGTGAGTCCCGTAGGGTGGCTTGTGGGGAAAGGGCAAAGAATGCAGCGCCGGTTTGCCAACTGGTGGCATTCAGCACAGGAATAGTGAGACTTATACCAGGACCAATATAAAATCTACACTTACTAATGCCTGCAAACCAGGTATGTTTACTCGTACTGGCTTGCTGATAACATAAGAGACCAGTGGGTGGAGAACGTAAACGAATAGGCTGGGGCTTACGAGTGCCACTATAATGGGAAATCCAAGAGCCATTGTGAGGCCATAAGGAGCTTCCGCAGTACAGTTAGATCGCAAACCTAAATTGTCAGAGGTGCTGCTGCTGGTAACCATCCACCTTTGACAATAGTCTGACCAATTTTGGGGTACTACTCTCCAGGGCAATCCCGCTGAATGGTGGGGAGTCTGGGCACATATCCAACAGTTGGAGAGATTGAACTCACAGGCAAAGGCAATTTTCAGGGCCTCATATGTGTTGGTAGCCATATCTGCAGGGATGGCTCCCCATCCTGCATGCAATGTGGGTGAAACAGTAGGTAACAGAAGAATTGCCTCTGTGATGAAAAGAAATGCTGTGAGAGACCCTAAACCTGAACCCATATTGTAATTACCACAACCCAAATACCCAGAAGATAATAAGAATTGTTGACACTAAACAAGTCAAAAAATAACAAGACCAAATACATAGGCCAGGTCGGCCTTCTGTGAGAAAATAAAACCAATGCTCAGGGTTCTCGCGGGGAGTACGCTGTGGCTGTTCAGAGAGATCACCAGGCATTCCCAGTGACCCTTACTTGTCTTTTGAATAACAGCTTAAGTCCCAAATCGTCATTAGCAGTCTTCTCCGCAGGCTGGACAGTCCACTGTTTAGGAGCGGGCACTGCTTTCAGTCGAGAGTGATGAATCCAGTTCTTGTGTCCTTCGACCTTTGCCGCTGTGTGGGTGACAAGCAGGACAGTGTGGGGTCCCTTCCACTTCTCTTGGAGAGGCTCGTCCTTCCAGGTCTGCACGAGAACGGAGTTATCAGGCTGCAGGGAGTGGACCGGGGTATCCAGCAGAAGAGGCTGTGAATCTTTGGTGTACCTGTGAAGAGAAGAAAGAGCAGCAGACAGAGAGCACATGTACTGAGACAAAAAAACCATACCCCACTTCCCATTCCCCTGCCAGAACTGGGGTACCACTCATAAGCCATGCTCTTCCAAACATAATCTCGAAGGTACTAAGCCCTATCCTGCCCTTAGGGAGAGCACGAATGCGAAGTAACACAAGGGGCAAAGCATCAGGCCATTTAAGAGAGGCCTCCTGACAGGCCTTTGAGAGGTGTCGCTTGAGTGTCTGATTTGTGCGTTCCACTACTCCACTGGCTTGTGGTCGCCAGGGTGTGTGGAGTTTCCAGGGGATTTGCAGAGCACTTGATATCTTTTGAACAATTTGAGATGTGAAGTGTGTTCCATTATCAGATTCCATCCACTGGGGGAGGCCGAAGTGAGGAATGATCTCCTTGACAAACTTAAGAGCCACTGTCTTGGCAGTGTTGGTGCGACATGGGAAGGCTTCAAGCCATCTGCTGAATCGATCCACTAAGACGAGGAGGTACCTGTACCCTTGGGTCCTGGGAAACTCAGTAAAGTCTATTTGCCACACCAATCCTGGGCCTGGGGTAGGTTCCAGGGTGGCTGGAGGCACTGCTACTCCTGGTCGAGGGTTATTTTTTTGGCAGATTAAACATTCAGCCTGTACCTGTGATGCTAGGGGTTTAAGTCCAGAGGTTAGAAAATATTTATTCATAAGCTGGGTAAGAGCCTCTCTGCCTGCGTATGTGGTTTGATGCAGTTTCTGCAACACTGGTCGAATCAAGCCCTTGGGCAGGAGGATTTTTCCCTCTGTGGAATAAAGCCATCCCTCCTTTTCCTTTACCCCAAAAGCATACTTTGAGTCAGTAAAAATATTAACCCGTTTGTCTTTTGCCAGCTCGAGTGCCCGGGTCAGGGCCACTAGTTCAGCAAGCTGGGCAGACGTTCCTGCCGGTAAACTCTCAGCTTCCACGGTATCATGAAGAGACACAACCGCATAGCCAGCCCTCCTTTGCCCATCCACAACAGTACTACTTCCATCTCTATACCATTCCAAGTCAGCATTTGGGAGTGGCTGATCTTTTAGATCTGGGCGGCTAGAATACTGAACATCTATGATTTCTAAACAGTCATGTTCCTGCTTCTCTGTCTCTGGTAGCAGGGTAGCTGGATTAAGGGAGGGACAGATCTGTAGGGTGACTTCAGGATTCTCTAACAGCTTCGCCTGGTACCGAGCAACCCGAGCCTGTGTGAGCCAAAGACCACCCTTAGTGTCCAGCAAGGCTCGGACCATATGGGGAACATACACACTTACACAGTTCCTCCCAGCGTCAGCTTCCAGCTTTCCCAAGCACTAGAGCCGTAGCTGTGACCGCCCTCAAACAGGCTGGCCATCCCTTTGAAACTTGATCCAGTTGTTTAGAAAAGTATGTCACAGGACGCTTCCAGGCACCTAATAGCTGGGTAAGCACTCCCAAAGCTACCCCTTTTCGTTCATGCACATACAGTTGGAACAGCTTAGATAGATCGGGCAAGCCCAGGGCTGGAGCTTCCATTAGCTTCCTTTT